TCTTGTGTCCACTTAGCTAAGTGTCCTATTCTGCCACTTATGCGCCGGGTTACACTGCAAACAAGGATATTGGAAGTTCTATTTTGCTGATTCCCATATTGCCGAATTCCAGATTCCAGATTCCCATATTGCCGACACCTTATAATAGGAATTTATTATTAGTGTAGTACACACAGGTGATTGCAAGGATTCATTTAGGATAAGATAGGTGGTTGATAGTTGCATTGATCTGATTACGAATCGGCAATTTTGGAATCGACTAAGTGAACTCGGCAAAATGTACCCAGCAAGTTGGGAATCAGCATTGTGATTGCCAAAATGGGAGTCGGCAAATTAGACAAGGCAAAATGGGAATCGGCAACGTAGACAAGGCAAATGGGAATCGGCAAAATGGACCCGGCAGAGTAGGAATCGGCAAATTGGACCCGGCAAAATGGAAACTGGCAAAATGGACCCGGCAAAATTGACCCGGCAAAATGGAAATCGGTAATCTGGCACTCATATATATATATATATATATATATATATATATATATATATATATATATATATATATATATATATATATATATATATATATATATATATATATATATATATATATATATATATATATTTTTTTTTTTTTTTTTTTTTTTTTTAAATGCAAAGTTCATTCCTAAACGAAAAGTGGACAATTATACACCAAATAAAAACTTTGAATCTATTTTGTGATGACCTAAGCAAAAACTTAAAATCTCATAACGGGTCATCACAAAAAAATATAAATATAGAAAAATATCTCATTAAAACGACTGTACTGGCAAAAAAAAACAACTTACATATATTCGACATTCTGTTGTGTTGATGCTTGTAGAATGTTGTAAACAATATTGATATTTTTATTTATTTCACTTAAAAATACATCAAAAAAAAATCTTCAAATATGTAAGTTATGAACGGACAATGTCAAGACATTAAATGGCGAGCGTTCTAATGTCTTTATTACGTAAATATAAACCGTGTTATGATTGGTTGGTTTCATCAGCTGGTGGATTTGAAGAACCAATAGTAAGGCTGGATGCATGGCACGTGGACTCGACCAAAACAAACACCGGAATTAGTGAAAATCCACTGGAAGGTCAGAATGTGGCTCTCTCGATTTTTCATATTTGCTGGTAAAGTGAGTTCTATTTTTGTCTTTTTGGTCATTTATTTTCTTGAGTTCTATTTTTGTCTTTTTGGTCATTTATTGTCTTGCTTTTTGTGTGTGTATATATATATATATATATATATATATATATATATATATATATATATATATATATATATATATATATATATATATATATATATATATATATATATATATATATTCTAAAGCCCGATAATAGTACTGAATATTTAAGTAAAATTTAGTCATTCAAACGAATGCAGTGGCTTAGTAACCTAGCCTAAACGTACCTGTACTAAACTGATATAGCCTAGGTTATCCTAGCCTTTTCTAACCTTACCTCAAAACTATCCTTACCTTATTTTACCTGACATTATTTCATATAATTTGATTTGATTTAAATGTAACTTAATTCAGCACAATTTAACCTAATATAACCTTACTTTACCAAAGCTTTTTTTGCCTAACTTAACCTATCCATAGCTTATCCTAAGCTAATCTTACCCGACTTCAATTTAAGTAGTTATCATGACCTAATGTTAGGTATTAAGCCTCCTGGCTAGTACAGTGGTAATGTGCTGACCTCGCATTCGCGAGGTAGATGGATTGAGCCTCGTCCAGGCAAGAGAGCTTAAACTGTTTACTGGAGAGGTTACTGCTGTGGGTGGTCACCACAGTGGGGGTTTGGGGCCTGTGCTGGCTGACGCCCGCCCTATGGATTCTTCATGACCTGTTCCACCCATCCTTGGGTGGATAATCTATATAAAAATAAAAGTAAGGTAATATAACCTAGCTTTACCATATTTAAACCTAATCTTACCCTTAATATTGCATTATCTAATTAGTCCTAAACAAGATTAACCTAATGTTGCTAGCTTAACCTAACCTTTCCTTACCTATTATAATTTACCCTTTCCTAACTTTATTTATCCTCATCTAACAACATCATATTTATTCTCATTTAACCTCATGATTCTTCACTCCATTGATTTAACATCATTAAATTAGGCCAAAACCACTTATTTCTCCATGAAGTGCAAATAGGGAAATGATTTCATTTATTTTTTTAATTTTATCTCGCTTTTATTATTATTATTATTATTATTATTATTATTATTATTATTATTATTATTATTATTATTATTATTATTATTATTATTATTATTATTATTATTATTATTATTATTTCTGGGGAAATTGATTTACTATAACCATGGAAACTTTTCTTTGAACCCACACACACACACAGAAAACGTTTGACACTGTTCCACATGGGAGACTTATTAGGAAGCTGCAAGCAATGGCTAGAATAGGTGGAAAGGTTTTGGAATGGATAAAAACTTACTTAGGAGGAAGGGAACAGAGGGTTAGAGTAAGACACTCAGTGTCTGAATGGAGAAGAGTTAGTAGTGGAGTTCCACAGGGTTCAGTTGTAGGGCCACTTTTGTTCCTTGTATATGTAAATGACCTACCAGAGTCTGTAAATTCATTCATGAATATGCTTGCAGATGATGCAAAGATTGTGAAGAAAGTAAGAAACGTGAACAATGGTAGAGAACTTCAGGAAGATCTAAATAGTCTCCATGAGTGGTCAGAAAAGTGGCTAATGAAAATCATTACTTCAAAATGTAAGATAATGAGAATGTGTACAAGTACAAAAAGGCCCAATCTTGACTACTCTGTGGCAGGAGTGCAACTTCAAGAGACAGAAAATGAGAGAGATTTAGGAGTAAACATACTGGCAGATTTGTTTCCAGAAATGCATATAAATGGCATAGTAAGGGCAGCATATGGTTTTTTAGCAATTGTAAGGGTAGCCTTCAGGCACATGGACAAGAAAATGTTCAGAAATTTTTATGTAACCTATGTGAGGCTAAAATTTGAATATGCAGCCCCCTTTTGGAATCCTCACTTGAATCAGCATGTAGTTAAGCTGGAAAAAGAACAATGACATGCCACGAAACTGGTGTCAGAAATACGCAATCTCAGTTATGAGGAAAGGCTTAGGGAATTAGACCTACCATCACTCGAAACTAGAAGATTGAGGGGGGATATGGTGATAGTCTTTAAATTCCTTCATAGTTATGATAAGAGTGGATAGGGATAGATATTTTGATATGGCTGGCACTGGGACTAGAGGGCAGAGTAGTTGATAATTGGAATTCGCTAAGCGAGGAGGTAGTTAATGCTAACTCAATCCATAGTTTTAAGGACAAATATGATAAGCATCACTAAGTACAAAATGGAACCGATCAGGAGACGGGAAGTTACGACCTTGGGGCTCTTTCCCGTAATCACAATTAGGTAATCATATACACACACACACACACACACACACACACACACACACACACATATATATATATATATATATATATATATATATATATATATATATATATATATATATATATATATATATATATATATAGAGAGAGAGAGAGAGAGAGAGAGAGAGAGAGAGAGAGAGAGAGAGAGAGAGAGAGAGAGAGAGAGAGAGAGAGAGAGAGAGAGAGAGAGAGAGAGCAAACTAGTTACTATATTTTAATTTTAATTCGTGTTTTCCCAAGATCAAATTGGTTATCATCCCTTTTTCAATTCCTAATTATTATACATCCACCGAGAGATTAATTTGAGCTTATATGAGTTGCATGAGATAAGTGACCTTGCTTTGCCAGAGCGGGTAGTAATTTTGGGGTTGGCCCAGTCACCCCGGACCACAATTTGGGAGGGCATGCAGTTCACTCTCTGGAAAACCCCTGGATGTGTGAATAAAATGTGGAACTCCTGAAGAATATGAACCTGCCTTTTATCAACAACGAAGGTTAGGTCAGAATTTGTGCTTAAAGGGCAAGCTGAATTTCTAACTTAACCTAACCTTTCTTCAAGTCACATGCTCCGGTATTGTTTCAATATACTTATTTATAGGACTGGTCAAGAGTTCATAGGCCAAACCTTAATAAGCATTCATACCAGTTGTTAGATGGGGATTTCCAAGCTCTGGAACTCTGTGACTCAAGTACAGATGTTTTCTTATCTTCAGCTCCTCTGGAACGCAAGTTACAACTCTATGGAAGAGAGTGTTCGCTTCCAGAACTTGCCGTGCAAGTTTGATAACTGGATTGGTGGGTTTTTCCAGCCTGAGGCGTCTGGAGGCATACCTTTGCATTTTTGGCTAACGGTATTTATTAGTAGATTTATATGGCTAAAAAAAATTATGTTGTACTTTTTTAATTAAATTGTAAAAAGGGCCTAATTTTTCAAGTTTATATATATATATATATATATATATATATATATATATATATATATATATATATATATATATGTATGTATGTATGTATGTATGTATGTATGTATGTATGTATGTATGTATGTATGTATGTATGTATGTATGTATGTATGTATGTATGTATGTATGTATGTATGTATGTATGTATGTATGTATGTATGTATGTATGTATGTATGTATGTATGTATGTATGTATGTATGTATGTATGTATGTATGTATGTATGTATGTATGTATGTATGTATGTATGTATGTATGTATGTATGTATGTATGTATGTATGTATGTATGTATGTATGTATGTATGTATGTATGTATGTATGTATGTATGCATATATATATATATATATATATATATATATATATATATATATATATATATATATATATATATATATATATATATATATATATAATTCTTCATTAACATCGGAATGGGCTACTTCTATTTTCTTTCTTTTTTTCGTCCTCCTCCTCCTCCTGCGACCTTGTGATGAATTGGAAATACCTGTATCAAAATATTGGGGTACATTCCGTGACATTATTTCTAAATATATGCACATGTAGCGGAGTAGTAACGTTCGCGACTTTGGTTCGTTAGGTCGTGGGTTCAAGGCCCGTCACAGTCAGAGACTAGAAATGGGATTCACTCAGAGTAACAGTTACACTTGCCAAAACTAAAATCCATCGTATGGAGGTACCGTCCCAATAATAGAAAAGGGAGTCTGTGACGTAAAACCGAACTGTTAACATACAGTCTAAAATGGTAGGAAAAGCCCATTAAGTTATATATATATATATATATATATATATATATATATATATATATATATATATATATATATATATATATATATATATATATATATATATATATATATATAAAGTACTTATTAATTTCGTGACCCTAACTGGTCACCTTCTCGAAGAACTTTGAGAAGGTGGGCAGTCAAGGTCACGAAATTAATAAGTGCTTTATATATATATATATATATATATATATATATATATATATATATATATATATATATATATATATATATATATATATATATATATATATATATATATATATATATATATATATATATGTATAGATATATGTATGTATGTATGTATGTATGTATGTATAGATATATATGTATGTATGTATGTATGTATGTATGTATGTATATATATATATATATATATATATATATATATAGATATAGATATAGATATAGATATAGATATATATATATATATATATATATATATATATATATATATATATATATATATATATATATATATATATATATATATATATATAAAGTACTTATTAATTTCGTGACCCTAACTGGTCACCTTCTCGAAGAACTTTGAGAAGGTGGGCAGTCAAGGTCACGAAATTAATAAGTGCTTTATATATATATATATATATATATATATATATATATATATATATATATATATATATATATATATATATATATATATACATACATACATATACCTTGGCTGTTTCCCCCTGAAATTGGGGGGTAGCCGACATAAAAAAAGGAAAACAGTTTGGGGAGAAGTTATTCTCCCCCCCACTCCCCTTCTTGACGTCTCACAGGAGGTTGGTACAAGGGGGGGGGGATTCCCAGTCCCCCCGTCCCGTCCACTTTTAGTCGCCTTTTACTACAGGCAGGGAATACGGTGAGGCTATTCTTTGATATTGTACCCGCCCCACAGGGCACAGGATATATATATATATATACATATACACATATACATATATATACACATACATATACACATATATACATATACACAGGGTTGAAAGATCTGAGAGGACTGGTGGAGGGATAGCACTGCTCATAAGTGAAAGGATTCAAGTTGAAGAAATAAACTTGGCTATAGAAAGTGAGTTCAAGGAATTTCTTGTTGCTTGCATAAATACTGGGTCAGAGAGCATTATAATAACTGTTGTATACAACCCACCAAGGAACCAAAATAAGCTTGAAGTTTATGAGGAAAGTCATATAGGTACTATTGAAGTCATAAACTCAGTTGTTAACATGGCACGGGAAAAAAAATGTAGGATTTTGATTATGGGAGACATTAATCATAAAGAGATAGATTGGATAAATCTTGACCCACACAGTGGTGAGGACTCATTCGGGGCAAGATTCCTAGATTGCGTACAAGGGAATTTCCTACACCAGCATGTAATGGAACCAACAAGGGCCAGGGGTGGGGATGAGCCATCACTTCTTGATCTAGTGTTCACAGATAATGTGTTGGATATTGAAAAAATTGAGTATGAACCACCAATTGGAAAGAGTGACCACTGTGTGTTGTTGATGGAGTATATCATTGAAGATATTCTTCCTGAGAGTAGAGGCACTGAGGACATGAGGAGGAACTATCGGAAAGGAGATTACATCAAAATGAATGAGCTTTTTGCAGTTATTGACTGGAGAACCTTATTTTACAACAAATCTGTACAAGAAATGTATGACATCTTTTGTGAGAAATATGGGAAGATAGTAGATTGCTGCATGCCTGTCACCAAAGTAGGTGTAATTCATGCCAGAGAGAAATGGTTCGATAATGGGTGTAAAAGAGCTAAGGAGTGGAGAGACAAATGCTGGAAAAGGTATAGGAGGAGAAAAAACATATATGCCTGGAAAACCTACAAAAGAGCAAGAAATGACTACCTAAGTAAAAGGAGAGAGGCAGAGAGAGACTATGAGAGGGACATCACCAGGAAGGCTAAAGAAAATCCCAAGCTTTTCCACAGCTTTTATCAGAGGAAAACTGAAGGTAAAAGAACAGGTTTTAAGGCTAAAGAGAGCGGATGGAAGCATCACTGAGACGGACGAAGAGATCTGCAAAGAATTGAACAAGGAGTTTCAGTCAGTATTTACAGTAGAAAATACCCCACCCCCTCAGATTGCAGTGATAGAAGGTCAAGGGCCGGTATTAGAGAACATCAACCTTACAGCCACAGAGGTATGCAAAGCGCTGATGGAGTTAGATGTTCATAAAGCTACAGGTCCCGATGACATATCCCCTCATGTGCTTAAAAAATGCGCAAACACAATATCAGTGGCACTAAGTATCATATTTAAGGAGTCACTGGAGTCGGGAGAGATTCCAAGATGCTGGAAACAAGCAAATGTGATACCTATCTTCAAAAAGGGAAGGAGGGATACGGCTCTGAACTATAGACCAGTTTCCTTGACCAGCATAGTTTGCAAACTTATGGAGAAACTACTAAGGAAACATATCTCTCTTCACTTGGAATCCTTCAACTTTTTGTCAGTGAGGCAACATGGCTTCAGAGAAGGAAGATCAACAGTAACAAACTTATTAGAATTTTATGATGAGGTAAGCCAAATCTTACAGGAAAGAGAGGGCTGGGCAGATTGCATATTCCTAGACTTCCAGAATGCGTTTGACACTGTTCCACATGGGAGACTTATTAGGAAGCTGCAATCAATGGCTAGAATAGGTGGAAATGTCTTGGAATGGATAAAAACTTACTTAGAAGGAAGGGAACAGAGGGTTAGAGTAAGACACTCAGTGTCTGAATGGAGAAGAGTTAGTAGTGGAGTTCCACAGGGTTCAGTTTTAGGGCCACTTTTGTTCCTTGTATATGTAAATGACCTACCAGAGTCTGTAAATTCATTTATGAATATGTTTGCAGATGATGCAAAGATTGTGAAGAAAGTAAAAAACGAGAACAATGGTAGAGAACTTCAGGAGGATCTAAATAATCTGCATGAGTGGTCAGAAAAGTGGCTAATGAAATTCAATACCTCAGAATGTAAGGTAATGAGAATGGGTACAAGTGCAAGAAGGCCCAAGCTTGACTACTCGGTGGCTGGAGTACAACTTCAAGAGACAGAAAATGAGAGAGATCTAGGAGTAAACATACTGGCAGATTTGTCTCCAGAAATACATATAAATGGCGTAGTAAGGGCAGCATATGCATTCTTATCAAATGTAAGGGTAGCCTTCAGGCACATGGACAAGGAAATGTTCAGAAATATTTATGTAACCTATGTGAGGCCAAAACTCGAATATGCAGCCCCCTTTTGGAATCCGCACTTGAAAAAGCACATAGCTAAGCTTGAAAAAGTTCAAAGACATGCCACGAAACTGGTGCCAGAAATACGCAATCTCGGTTATGATGAAAGGCTGAGGGAATTAGACTTGCCATCACTCGAAGCTAGAAGAGAAAGGGGGGATATGGTGACAGTCTTTAAATTCCTTCATGGGTATGATAGAGTGGATAGGGATCGATATTTCGATATGGCTGGCTCTAGAACTAGAGGTCATAGTTTGAAGCTTCGTAAGAAAATTTGTTTGCAGGATGTAAGGAAATACTTTTTCAGTGTAAGAGTAGTTGATAATTGGAATTCGCTAAGCGAGGAGGTAGTTAATGCTATCTCAATCCATAGTTTTAAGGACAGGTATGATAAGTATCACTAAGTCTAAAAATGGAACCGATCAGGAGACGGGAAGATACGAGCTTTGGGCTCTTTCCCGTAAACACAATTAGGTAATCACAATTAGGTAATCACAGTGGTCACTCTTTCCAATTGGTGGTTCATACTCAATTTTTTCAATATACAACACATTATCTGTGAACACTAGATCAAATAGTGATGGCTCATCCCCACCCCTGGCCCTTGTTGGTTCCATTACATGTTGGTGTAGGAAATTCCCATGTACACAATCTAGGAATCTTGCCCCGAATGAGTCCTCACCACTGTGTGGGTCAAGATTTATCCAATCTATCTCTTTATGATTAAAGTCTCTCATAATCAAAATCCTACATTTTTTTCCCGTGCCATGTTAACAACTGAGTTTATGACTTCAATAGTACCTATATGACTTTCCTCATAAACTTCAAGCCTATTTTGGTTCCTTGGTGGGTTGTATACAACAGTTATTATAATGCTCTCTGACCCAGTATTTATGCGAGCAACAAGAAATTCCTTGAACTCACTTTCTATAGCCAAGTTTATTTCTTCAACTTGAATCCTTTCACTTATGAGCAGTGCTATCCCTCCACCAGTCCTCTCAGATCTTTCAACCCTTAGTATTCTGAAGCCCTTAGGAAAAACTGTGACACTGTTTATGTCCTCACTCAACTTAGTCTCTGTAATTGCTACTATATCTGCCTTACTGTTGTGAATCCAATCTTTTAATTCTACTGCCTTACCAGCTAATCCATCAGCATTTGTGTATAACAATCTTAATGAGGCCCCATCCCCTGATCTTCTGTCATTATCTTCTTTATCTCCCCTTTGTCTGGAAGAACTCTGTAACGAAAATTTTTCTTCTCTTCTTCATTTCTTTCATCATTTAACCTTCTTTCCTCTTGCAACAAGTTTTTTATCTTTCCCATCTCTTCCTGTGTTCTGTATCGTCTAATGAACACTTCTTTGAATTCTTGAAGGTCTTTTAGACTTTTTTTTCTCAACAATATTTCCCTACATGTTTCCCCTCTCTCAAAGGTTACTTTTGTTGGTCTCGGCTTTCCTTCCCTCGAATATTTACCTAGTTGGTGTATGTTTACAATATCCTCAGGACCACAAACTACTCCAAGCTTTCTTACCAGGTCTACAACCCTAGCTTTATTTTCTTC